TTGATGACTTTTCCTAAAGTGACCTAAAATACCCAAAAATGAAAATATTTAAAAATGTTATACTTTTGCACAGGTGCTACACATTTTTGTACATTGATGCTGTTCCGGGTCAAATTTGACCCGGATCTAGTGAGATGGATTTTAGACCCACTAGAGTGGGTCAAATCAAGGAAAATGGTTGTTCTAGGGAATCTTGAAACTGTGAAACTGTATATATTTTATGTCTGTGTGTATTTTTATGGGGCAGTGCTGACAGAGTTGGGTGGTTGGGCCTTGACACTGTCTCAATAACTGTTCGCCCAGGTTCCCGCAGGGACAGGCCCCTGCTGGTCATGGGGGGCCATGGCCATGTTGGTCCTCACTTTCACACCAAGTTCAGGTGTGAAAGCGACTCCAGGACCCACAAGATTGGCCACAATATATTTAAATCATTATGGCTGTTATGTTTTCATGTCTTAGGTAAAACAGGACATGATATAGTGTGATATAGGTGTTTTTTTCTCCAAAAACGAGTGGTCTAGAACCTAAGAATTACACTCTCATGCTATATAAAATCATAAATTAAGGATTAATATGAATTTATTAATGTAAGATATGCTATTTACATATTCTAAATAGATCTGTAGTTCAAATTATGGTATAGACACTTTTTATGAGGACTTTCTTGGACCGGGTCAAACATGACCCGGGCCATACTGTGAAGGCATTGGATATGAACAGTTTATAAGGGTTTAACCCTGCAGACGCAAACTGCGTCAAAATACAGAAAAAAGGATCCTAGATTATAGTAGTGATATGATACCCCACATATGCCAAATGACAACATTTTAAAGAGCCTAAGTGTCATTTAAACGGTCATCCTGATACAATCTAGTTGCATATGCATAATATATAATTCTGACTAAGTACTGCATGTATAAAATGCTTCTGTCTGATATTTTACCAATGATACTGCATCACACTCTGACTCCTCCTCCAGCTTTTGCTTTTGGTGTACTACTACTACTGTAAGATTTGTAGGGGCCCCAGGCCACCCCTATGGGAAATTATTGGGTTGTCAATGGCTGTGGCGACACCAAATTAAAAGATAAGCAAAAACATCCACCAGGCTCAAGAGGTTCAGATGATGAGGGAATCAAAGGAGACAGAAATAACTTAATATAGGGTGGCTGACAAATGATGCTATGAAATGATCTACAAACGCTATAATCCAGATTACCAACTTCCTAAAGGTCCCAGGATTAGCAATATAATGCCCACTAATGTATCTTTAAATGGAGGCTGTAGTCTCTCTTGTGCCTTTTCATCATATGGAATCAATGGTTTAGGCAGGAAATAGAACCTGCTTTGCTTCATGTCAGATAATGGTCAACAGAGGACAGACATAAAGATGTTTTCCCACAAAGCGCAATAATTCCCTAAGCAAACACATTAAAAAACTCTTGAATAACCTGTCAGCACTCTTGATAATCCCAGTAAAAAGCTCCTGAAATGACTGCCCTTTCCTCTAATATTAAAGTATGCTTTCTAGATAAGTCCCACACAAACCTAACCACCA